GCCTTTCATTGGTGTAATGTGCATCTTCCAAGCATTGCTTGAAAGAGTAAGGATGAGGATAGGACTGCTGGGGTTGTGATTGAACACCATGACTAGGAAATGGAAATTGGGTGGATTGTGTTGGAGGCAGCTTCCTAACAACCATTGGTCTTTGAATATAAGAGGTAGATCCTGGCTGAAAACGTTGGCTTTGAGAAGAAGCTTCAGAATTGTAAGAACATGTCATTATTCCCATATTCTAACTGCCAGGAAGAATTAAATGATGAAGATTCCCTGGAACTGCACCAACCTGCTGGAGCAAAACAAGTAGTCCGCAGCACGGAAAATTCAGCTGTTGCAGCCCCCTCGACAATTTGATTACTCTGCACATGACGGCCAGTCTCATGAGTCTATTAATAGCAATACATATTAACAATAACCCCATATTTCTTGAGGAACTAAAACGCAAATACTATCACAAAAATAGAATAATCAGAAGTCTTACACTGGGAATTCTAAAATGGTCCCGCTGCATTGATGCCTGGTATGATTGCTGCGATAATGGATATGCTGAGGTAGGGAACCCTGGCTGAAGTGGTAAGGGAGGATAGTTAGGCATGGTTGGTTGAACTATTAATGATGGTGGAGGAGCTATAGGTTGTACAGGCGGAGGCGGCAGTGGTGGAGGCAGGGGTGGTATCGACGCTGAGGGCGATAGCGGTGGCAGTGGCGGTGGCGGCAGTGATGGTGGTATCTGCGCTGACGGAGGTAGCGGTGGTGGTGGCGGTGGTGGAGATGATGGCGGTGGAGGGGGAGATGGAGGTGGGGGTGAAGGAGGCAGAGGCGGAGGTGATGGAGGCAACTCGTCAGGCAATGGAGGAGAACCCTCTAGAGGAGGGGGAGGCTCCACTGAACTCGTTTCAGCTGATTCCCTAACATCCAGTGGCTGCTCTTGTGCTTCAGTCTCACAAACAGAGCAAGGCACTTCATCCTTCAGGCGACAAGACGCATCTTCCATTTCCAGCTCGCCATCCACATCCTCCAAAATGCAATGGCGTCTATCATTTGGAGTAAACCGCATTTCTAGCTCTCCTAGGGTATGGACCGGTTCCACCATAGATGCATTGTTAGCTTTTCCTGATGTGCTTGGAAGATCCTCATCTTCTTCGTCATCTTCAAACTTATGAGAAGAGAAAAACCCAGACAACTGAAAGCTCGTATTGCTGCAGAAAAACCAGTAAAAAGAGCATATAAGTTCACAAACACTAGGTGAAAAGGGCAACATGTCATCTCAAAAAATTCTTTCATAACTTACATAAATTTCACCAATTTGGCCCCTCTTGCCATTATCAAGATATCATAAACCCCGAAAGCAAACACTGAGCAGGATATGCGTAAAAAATACCTTCCGTACTCATCAACAAGCATGCCTTCCATTTCCCTTATGGGATCATCTACACCACGCTCAGATCTAGAAGGGCGCCTCAGGGAAAAACCAACGGTTGCATCATCACCAGAAGCTCCAACATCGTCAATGTAACGACGCAAAAGAGAATCAGGGAAAATTTTCCTCTCAAGCCACAAGCGCAGCACCTAGTAAGAAGTAAGAGCGTATGATCAACTACTCTGGCCAACAAACACATGGATTTCCCTCAAACAAACAAAAACATAAAGAACCTTAACACATTGACGACGATTTTCACGGGCATCAGTTCCTGCAGGAGCAGCAGCACCTAAAAGGCGTGGCAATGCTGCTTGCACAATTGGAATGTATGAAGCACCGGCTATACCTGGAAAAGATTTTTCACATGCATCAGGAAACAAAATTAAACATTATTAGTTAGAATACGAATAGGTATAATCTTTGGCAGAAAACAACAACAACAAGGAGCAACAACTATTGGCATCACATAGGATTGACCACCGAGAACAGGTCGCATCCATTCAAGAGAAAAATGCACCTTTCTGGTTGTGCGAACACTGAGTGATTGAATCAACAAGAAAGAACAAGCCCACTTTACGATGGAAACTAGGCTCACATTCCAACTTCCGTATAAGAAGTTCCACAACCTACAAATAACCATGCAAGCCATTCTCCGATCATGTTATGTACCGCACGTTGTAACTTCGCCAAAACATTTCACCAGCAACAAACAAAAATTAAACCATCAAAAGTAAATTTTATCCGAATTTCTTTTTTTGGCAGTCTAAGTTAGTTTTAGACAAGTCTGGCTAACAGCCTTAGGAGAAAATTAACAACATGAAAACACGAACACAAAACTAGTGCAAAAATTGAGACATTATTTATACTTACCTCACTGGCGATCCCATATTTGGCACACTCAATTGCCAGGCGTGTTGCACGTCCAATACTTTCCTTGGTTCTTGATAAAGTCTCTATCATTCCCTCGAAAGCATCCCGAGAAACAGCTCCCTCAGTGCCACCGCTCAGAGAACCCCCAACTGACCTGTGCCCAGAACTAACTCTCATCTCTTCATTTTCTACCTTCTCAACCTGATCTCTTGAAGACAACTGTTGACCATCATTTGTTGGGGAACAACTCAGATGGTGGACCAGTGCACCAGGCTGCGCCGCATTGCCAGCAGAAGATGCAACATTCTGAATAACGAATGGGCTGTGGCTCCTCACCTGTGCATCACTGATGCTAAAGAAACTATGGTTAAGATTCACAAAAATTGAATCTTGCAAATGTGCTTGTTTCCTTTTTGCCTGGGCAGCTGCGATTAGATCCTTCATAGATGTAACAGTATCTGGAGTCCTAGCACTGATCAATGAAATACTTCTATTTTCTCTATTGGTTTCAAACCTATCATCAGCAAAAATAACGAAAATTAACATCAAATAAAATAACAGATGAAAGACTGAGAGAATTACAGTAACATACATGTCTACAGACGTTTCTCGTGAAACACCAGCAACATTCAATTGTGGCACAGCTTTTGTAGCAGCTCTTGGTCTTTCCCCGGAAGCAGCTGATTGATTTCTCTGACTTACAATCTGAGATTGAGAAGAGTTTGCTCTATCAGAAACCCCAACTGCATCCTTGCAAGAAACACCCCGAGCCTTATTTTGCATCCCAGCAAAAGAAACTTTAGCAGAGGATTTTGCAGATTTATTTTGTCCTGCAACCTTCTCGTTAGCCGATACAGGCTGAGGTGATTTCTTTAAAGCTCTGAAGAGCTGCTTGATATCCTTCTGCGGCAATTCATCGGCTGAATTTCCAATAGGCAAGCTGTTAGTAGGGCTCTCCACACTAACTGGTTGTGCACGTAAAACATCCTCATTATGTTTCCCCATAGGTGATTTCCTTGGTTCAGTATTACCTAAGCCAATCGACCCAGCGGATCGCTTAGTTTTGATAGATGTACCGTGACAGGTATCAACACTTCTAGGACCATCAGCAGGAGGAACTGGTGTTGATTTGGGAACATTAGCATGTGCTCCATGTACTGGAGTCTTAGGATCATCATCATCATCTTCATCATAGATACACACAGCCCTCCGTTTCTTCGGAAACTGAGAAGCTGGAGGAGATGAGACCTTAATGCTGCTAAAGGAGGACAAACTATTCTTTTGTTCAGGACGACCTTTCCCCTCTTTATCATGACGTGCAGAAACAGAAGAACTGCTTGTGTGCTCCAAAGTCTGTTTGCGGCGCTTCGTGTAAGCAACTACTTCTTTCCCAAATTGAGCATTTCCTTTTCGAGCACTTAATCCTAAAACAATCTCTGGCTTCGATTCTAGTGTAGCCCCTAAAGAATCAGGTTCTTCAATTTTGTCCTCACCAACAGAAAGATGGTGACTGCTTTTAGATTTTCTTGAATCTTTTGCATGTTCAAGCCGCAGCCTTTTAAAAGCATGTGAGCTTTCATCTGCTCCTGATACATACATTCCTAACTCACTTTGAAGCCTCTTATTCTTGCCAGATACCCCACCCTTGGAGTGAGGTGCCAAATGCTTAGCACAGGAGACTTTAGGACTAGGTTTCTCTTTCAGCAAGTCTTCTGAATCTTTGGAAATTTCAATGGTGAAATCTGAAACAATATCAGCTTCTAAAGATTGTTTTTTACCACCGTAATCTCTCCCCTTTTTACTGTCCTTCAATTTTCTATTAGCATCATGGAGAGAACTTTCACTAGCAGCTAGGCCATCAGCCACACACGAGTTACTGCTTTTGTCTCTGTGGGATGCATCTGTGCGTCTTCTATCCAAGCCACTAGAAATCTTCTGTATTCTCTGTCCATTGGCCAGATTTTTCTGGGCACTACCAGGAAGCTCAGTGCAAGCTAGGGCATCGATTTTATCATCATGATCTTCGTTCTTCGTGACAGGATCAGGAGATCCATGCTCCAGTAGTCCACTATTCAAGGAGGATGATTTATTCTTTGATCCCAAAACTGGTGAACTCCGTTTCCCATTGTATACTACCTCAAGCTTTGCCTCTGCTTCACTATTCTCATCTAATCTATTGGAACAAAGCTCCAGCTCAGAATCGGAGTTATCGGTTGCATCATTCCTAGCTTCTTTATAGTTTGTTTCATCAAGTAACTCAGATTTTATCACATCAGCTTCAATAGTGTCCAAAGACGGAGCCCCATGGTTAGCTGCAGCTCTAACAACCCTGTCACCTGAAGCATTTAAGTTCTGATTCTGCAACTCTTCAAATGCCGCAGAGATTTCCTTTACAGCTTGTGCGAAGTACTTGACCGTTTTTCCTTGACATCTCACTAAAAGTTTATTCTTTGCATCGCCAGTGAAGGGTTGAATATCAGATGGAGCAACAAAAGCTCTGCAGAGAAGGAAGATAGTCAGCTACGAATGTTGAGGAAACACAATCAAATTCGAAAATGTCAGAAAGAAAAAAAAACAATAAAAGCACCTGATAATATATCACCAGGCTAATAAGTCAAGAAAGAAACAAAGTTGAAGATGGAAAGGGAAGGTAATATTGCCCTATCTGGGTGAGAGAGTGAACTGTATCATAGGAACTATCTGCTTCATAGTTACATGGTATATCCAGAAACAGCTTACTCTCTTCAAGAAAATGCGTAAACCTTTTCAAAAATTAAATTTACTGAATTTTAAGGACAAATAGTGTTAATCCATTAACAATCAGTTAACATACAAGAGTTTTGCTTACATTTCCTGCGTTCCAAAGAACTGAACAAAGTATTTCTTTGGGTCCAGAGCACGACACCAATCTTCAGGCCGGCTGATCTGAAACTTGAAACCGAAAACTTCACCAGATATACTAACTGAACTAAGAACAGATTAAAATGGACACCCATGCAACTTGAACATAATAGACAAAAAAAAAACAAGATTAAGTTTGAGGATCAAAAGGCTGCATTAGAACAATAAGGCGACACTAAAACACGAATACAATTATGTTACTCGTCAGATGTGATGACGAAACAATTTGAAGAGGATCAAGTTTTGAAATTCTTAGCAATATCCTTTCATAGGCAGATCGAAGCCATGAAAAAAGTTGACAAAAAGGGTAAAATCGAATTCAAATAATTTCCTTTTACAATAATGCTCACCGAACAGTACAAAAAGGGACCACGTTCATGCCAAGAAAAGTGAGTATGCGCTCACAATACTAATGAAACTACACATGCTCATGCTTTACAATAAAAAAATGTGTATCCTTCTAAATGTGCTACCTCCACGTATCCATGGCAACTCATATCTCTCTAAACGGAGAATGTCACCATTAACCTATACATGTCACGTAGTGCAACACACAAGGACCAGAAACAATAGACCAACAGAAAGTCACCAGAGGTCCAGAACTTACACATTAATAAGCTTAATTCTTAAAATAAACCTCTAAACCTAATTCAACCATGAGTTTCCAACTGAGTAACATAAGCTATCATCCAACTACTGGGTTGAACTTGGCGTTAAAAAGAGAAACCTAAGTGTGGCACAGTTTAGACCACCCTAATCTAGACACATGCCGAGAAAGTACGGTAAGCATTCCAGCAACAAAGAGAAACCATTTGAAATCCATAATCCAACTGTAAATCGCATATAGGCGGCATAAACAAACTAGCAAAGAACCTGCCCCAAATTTAATGACCGGCGAAAGCATTCGCATCACTAGAAACAAAACTAGACCGAAAGAACAAAAACCCTCTAGAAGCCAACTCTAAATACCCATGAAAGGCTCAATAATCAAAAACACAAGAAGACAAAAACTACACAGCTCAGAGACTAGATGGGAATGCGACTAGAGAAGCTAAGGAGCATACCGAGAAAAGAAAACAAACATGACCCTGTTTGCAAAATATCGTGTTCGGTACTCAAAACGCCTGAAGTCGAGGATGAAGAGAGAGCACGCACCTTCGCAGGCCAAGCAGGAAAACCTTTGACTTTGGCGAGAACCAGATCGCCCAAACTCAATTGTCCCTTGGCCTTAGCCTTATTCGCTCCTCTTTTACGCCCAGGAGCCATAGGCGCAACCTTCGGAAAACCCTAATTTTAATCCCGAAATAGGAACCCCTGCCACAATCGCTAAATTTCGATCCAATTATGATAAGCGACAGAGAAACTACGACTTCTCAAGGGAGATTACCGCCGGAAGAAGCTCACCGATCGAGGAACCGGCGACGGAAGACGCTATGGCAACACGCCAATGGAGACGGCGAGAGATGAATTGATCGAGAGAGAAAGAGAGAGACTTTGAGGCAGTCGGAAGACGGGCTTCTATGGCGAAAGGGCGAAAACGTTGGGAGAAGTTTAGGGGAAGACGTTGCAGAGAAAACTAGTTACTGTTGTCGGCGTTTTTCCCTTTTCCCTTCCTCCACCTTTTTTTTATTATTATATATCTATTTATCCCACATTCCTAAACCCAAAGATATTCAGAAAAACAATTATTTGACCCTTTTTTTATTTTCTCATTAAATTATATCATATCCGATCCATTATTACAACACAAAATAGATGATCATATTTAACACAGATAATCATTACAGTATCTCGCCTTTTAATCTAATCACCAATACCTCATCAAATCCCTTGTTGATTTAAACAATTAAAACTTCTCAAGAGTCACAAACAAACCAAGCTTTAACCACACAATCAAAGCAACACACTTCATCTTACACATTATGTGTTTTTTTTTATAAGTAGTGCATGCATATTTTATATAATTGTCAGTGAAATACACAGAAATAATTTTTACATATAGGTGAAAACAAAAGCATGTCAACAATCTTATTTTCCCTCCTTTGTTAGGCATCCCTACATTTTAAAAAAAAAAAAAAAAGATGCATAGCCAAATATAAACTCAGTCAACAAAAACAAGACTCAAATCGGAGAAGCCATACATCTTTTGGCCATGTGATATGATGGCTCTGTCTTTAGCCCCTTCGCTACAGAAGCAGAAACAATGGTTTCTCGAACTCCTGCCACCAAAAAAAGAAGGAACAAAGGAAGGGCAAACATCAAGTACAACATGCCCAGCCATTACATTCACCCAACAAGGTTCTTTGGGGGGTGTATGAGAGAAAAAACTACAAAGAGCATACCTAGTTCTATGGAGCAATATTGACTCCACAGAGAATAACTCTCTCTTCAGACATCCAATGTAAGCCTTTTCACGCTCAATCTCATCTCATGGATGATGAAGGCATAAAGGTTCTAGACTTGACGCAAAAAAAAACGTTTTAAGCGTCAAGTCATCCATTCGATAAGTCAAGATAGAATTCCTTAAACAAGACAACCAGGATTCTGATGAGAAAAAACAGTCTGAGAAATTTATTCCCCGCAAAGCATAACACTATTTCTAACAAGTAACAGCAGCAAAGCAAAACTGGTAAAAGAATGGAAGAAAGTTTTTTTTGTATGATTACCATGTTTGCCTAAGTTGAACTTTTGTCTTTGCTTTCATTTCCTACAGTGTCCCTGACCAACTCCATCAGTTTTCTATCTATCACTACATTTTGCTCATCAAGAGTCATGAAATGAACCCTATTCACAATCTTCTGAATCACCTCTATGGGTTGCTCACCGTGTGTTTTGCATACAATTCATATAAGGCATCCCACACACGAACAATCTGTTAAGTGTGAATCGTCATATCCTTACCCTGCCCACTATATCCCCCTGAAGGTTGATGAATCATAATGGTTGGATTAGGGCGAGACCGTCTATGCACTGTGGCACCAGCTGCCAAGAGGAGAGAAATCATGGATGCAGCAGCCTGGCCAAAACAAAAGGTGTTTATTGGGGATATAATATACTGCAATGTCATAAATCACAAGACCTGCATTTAAGAGAAAGATACAAAAGGATCTCCAAACACATAATCTCGATCAACGAATAGCATACCATTCATGAGAAACAGATTGCGTCTTTAGAAAGTATCCCCACTTTCCATGACCCATAGCATAGACTCAGAAGTATGTGCAGACAAATATATGTTACCAGCAACGAGGAGAAAACATAGAACATTTCATAAGAGATATAATTTCATCAAATGTCTCCTATACCAATTAATAGCACCAGGTTCCTCAAATAAGCTCTCCAGAAAGATGCCGGCTCTAAAGACTTCAAAAAAAAAGGGTAGACAACAATACCCACCACAGAACCAACAAGGAGGTAACCATACCAACTTTACAGAACGAGGTCAGAATATTGACAATATAAATTTCAGGGCATTTAACAATCAAATCAATTCTCCAACACCATATTACAGGCCAAATCAAACACCAGAACGGTAACGTCACCTAAGAAAACAAAGCTTACGGCACTTAACGCCCAATCGCACTACCAAATTCCTAAGAAAGTAGAGTTCCAAACCCATTACAACATTTCCGATAAGAAAACTACCAAAACCCACTAAATTTCCGAAATTTAAAAAGAAGAGAATGATCAACAGAAAGCGTACCTGAGGTGACACTGCCACCAGACGGATTGAGGTGCATATGGATACGCTTAGAAGGGTTCTCGGACTCGAGGAGAAGAGTAGCTGAGCGAAAAATACGTGAAACGTGTTGTCGCTGATAGGACCATTGATGCAGATTATACGGTCCTCGAGCAGCCCAGAGAAGACATCGTAGGCTCTCTCGCCGCGCGAAGAGTGCTGTATAACCATCCGAATCAGATTGTAGGCTCTTGCGCAGTGGCAGTCATCATCGGGGCCATCGATGACGTAGTCCACAGCATCTTCGCGCCGGAGATCAGAACCCTCATCGTCGAGAATTCTAGGGTTTGGAAAAGAAGGAAAGCTCTGGAAAAAAAGCGTTGAATATTTGGTTCTCGATTGATGGATTTCGGATCCAGGTCGACCCATCACATAATGTCACGTGTGATTTGGGCTTAGACCAACCCATTTATTATCCAACTCATATTCTTTGATACAAAAATTTATGAACATTTTATATCTTATAGCTATTGTACAATTTAAAACTTCCAAGTTTGGAGTGATTCGAATCAAATTTCCGGATATTTGAAATTGATATCAATGTTTCTTTCTATGTTAAAAAGTTTTTTTTTGTATATTTTCCATTTACTTCACGAAAACGCGGTTTTCAAAGTCAAAACTATACACAACCAAACAAGTCCTGAGAGACCCAACAAAATTTTAAAATAAAAAATTATGAAGAACGAATAGAAGAAAGCGCCGTCAAAGCGAAACGCGATTTTGGCGGCGGAGAAAACCTTCCAATATGACTTTTCTCTTGTAGGCGTCGGAGTTCAAATCCAAACCGCTATTATCCCCCCGACAGCGTTTGCGTTTGCGTTTCGCTGCGGCGGCATCTCGGAGTCGAGGGAGGAAATAACACCATGCGGATGCACAGAGAACCGCACACACCCGACCCCATATCAACATAATTGCCAACGTAACCATTATGATTGACATCCCATCAACCGGGTCGAATTTCCCGACCCGATTTGGTTTCTTCCCGGTCTTGTTCGGGTCGGGTTTCCCGCCAGCCGAAATGAGTGTCCGCTTGTGACACGTGTCGGGAATGATGTCTCGGTGTTTGTTCGTGTTTTTCTTGACAAATAATAAAAACTTGAGTTATTTATTTAAATTTACAATTATCGTTAACGAGAAATATTTTACGAGGGACAAAAATAAAACCGAATCTAGAAAATGTTGTTCGGACAAAAACACAAACCGGAAAATGAAAAGTACCTCTTCAGTTTCAAGTTTCGCAGCCTTATCATCAGCCCGACTATTCCTCTGATCAGTCACATGGCTTATCACCGGAACAGATCTCGACTTGTCAGATTCTTTCTTCGCATTCGAATTCAAATTCGTTTTCTCAGTCTCGTAGATCGGAGAAGGATTGACTTCACCGTTCTTTAGCCGGAATCTTGACCAAGAAAACCACCGGTTTTTCTTCTTCTTCCTCTTCCTCTCGCCGCCTTCCGGAGACACGATTGGTTTCTCGGAGAACTTTTTCCGGGAAAATCGAAAACAGCCGAGGAAACACGACGGAGAAGATCCGGTTCGCTCTCGGGTTCTCTTATCGGGTTTGGCCATTGAAGTTGGAAGGAGAGAGAAGAATGAGGCATGTGCGAAGACTTATGCTTGGAGCGGTTGGATTTTGTCCCTTTTTTTTTAAATATTAATTAGCAAATAATTACCGCGCGTTGTCAACATTACATACATGTGTAAGAAACGGGACATATGTGTGTGTATATAATATATATATATATATATTAATTAATTGTATTGAGACAGAAAAGGATCACAAAAGAATGTTATACTTTGGATTAGATGCGTTTTACACTCTCTAATATTGTGTGCATGCATGGTCCTCGTGATTTTGCGTACTTTTAATCTTCGTATATCTTCGACTATTGTTTTTTTTAACACCGGTCGTTATAGAAGTTAAATTTTCATTAAAATTATTGATTAACCAATTCAATGGCGTGCGTGCCAAACTTAACGAATCATATTTTTTTTTTGTTAACGCTTAACGAATAGTATTCAACACGAGAAAACAAAACAATTTGAATAATTAAAACATAAAATAAAAGTATATCAAATTATATAATAAAAACAACAACAAAAGCGGATCTTGGATTTGTGGGCAAAGTCTTTATAATATATATATATATATATATATATTATATATATATATATATATGCGCGCGTGTGTGTATATAGTCTTTGATTCCAAACAAGTTATCGTCGTAACCACGTTTCCAACGTCTACGTCGGCCATTTGTGTTTAGCCGTTTGCTCCAAGTCCCCCTTTCAAATCCAACTATGAAAAAGATTGATTAATTTGACCACTTCTATTTAATTATTTTTCATTCAAAAACCATATTAAAGTGATGGTCCCACGGACCTATCAAACCCTCGCATTTAAACCTAAACCCTAACAGTTTATTCGTTAATTCTACTCAAAAATCTCACACAACTACATACATATATATATATATATATATATATATATATATATTATCAAATGAATCTTATTACGTAGTGCATACAACTACGAAATACCAAAATACAAACTTTTTTATTTTATCATGATTGCCGTTTATTTCATAGATTCTCCTCTTCAAGCCGATGCTTCATGGACATAGTGAGAGAGAAATTGGGCTGCACCCCATCATCATCAAGCATTGTTATGATCATGATGATTTCCTTCTTATTTATTTATTTAAAAAAATTTTGGATGGATTATCCTGTGCATGTATAACAATGGTTAAAAGAAATCTAAGTGAGTTGATGTTGCAGAATCTGCAACTCTTCTTCCCTAAGACTGGTTTTACAGACAACAACAATCAATGAAGATTAATAAATAAAAGTTACAACAGATCAAAGATGAAAATCAAGAGAAGGACCTCAGGAAGCCAAAACAAAAACCCTAATCCTAAGCCTCAATCCGTGGTCATGATTCATCATCTTCTTTGAATGGATTTAGATGCCGAAGAATCCAGGACCAGCACGAGAAAGCAGTTCCTGTCCGGCCTCTTTCCCCATCCTCACCATGTCTTCGTAGGCATACGGACCTTTTCTTGAAGTCTCCAGCACTGATATTGTTAAGAGAACACACATTGGCATAGCAAATGAATGATCTTTTTTTTTCCCCCTTATCAGATGGGTGATTGCTCATCATTTTTCTGGCGATAAACATAATAAATAATGTGTAATCATACATACCTCGTCTTCCATCGGGAGAAGCAACCAACCCTTTGAAAATGCAGTTGCCATCCTCGTCCCGGGACGCGTATCCAGCGATGGGAGTACGGCACGATCCATCTAACGTCTCCAGAAACGCCCTCTCGCATGCAACTGCTAGTCTTGTTCCCTCGTGATTTAATGAGGCCAAGTAATTCTCCTGCATAACCAAACATTCCCCAAATGATCAGTTTCCAACTTTCTTCGATAAAGCTATAAAAAATTCCGGGATTTAGCCTGGGGACATAACAAGAACTTAAGCATCTGTGGAAACACATTGTAACCGTAAGTAACGAATACAGGCAAATAATCCAAAAAAAAGGGCCCGAGAGTTTATTCCGATTAGACGAATTGTAGGGGTTTCAATAGATCTTGACATACCATTTTGTCATCGTCGCTTCTGCAAGCAATCCCAATTGCACCTTGAGCAACTGCTGGGAGCATTTCATCTATAGATAAGATCGAAGTGACATTCTCTGTCATATTCAATCTCTTTAGCCCAGCTAATGCTAACAGAGTAGCTTGGACCTTTCCTCCTTGAAGCTTCGACAATCTCGTTTGGACATTACCCCTAAAGTTTTCCTCAACCTGCAGAATAAATACAATAACCCAATAATAATATTAAGACTGATTGTGTTCAAACCAAAATTACAAAGAACCACACCTAGAAGACTCAAGTCCCAAACTTTTTTCCTCTCTGATTTTCTTTGGTATACAAGGAACGGGTCGTAGAAAAAGTTCACGGGGAAATGACTAGATAATATGTGGTAAGATTTGATAACTTACCTTTAATGCAGGATATCTGTAGAGTATCTGAGACTTTCTTCTAAGAGAAGCAGTTCCCACAATGCTTCCTGCAGGAAGCTCAGCTAATGAAGCAGCGCTCAGACATATAAATGCATCCCGGACATCCTCACGCTCAAGGTTACAGGGTAAAATCGTCTTATCGGGTAAGTAAGTCGGAACATCTTTCATTGAGTGGACAGCGATATCGATACGACCATCTATCAAGGCCTATTTCTTTGGTGAAAAGCCCTTTCCCACCAATATCTGCAAGTGGTTGAGTTAGAATCTTATCACCAGTGGTTTTTATGATCTCAATGTGAATAGCCCCTTCTTCGGTGAGTTCTGGGTGCATTGACTTGAGCTTGTCCCGTGTCTCGTATGCCTGAGCAAGGGCTAGAGGGCTGTCCTAAATATGGGAAGGCTATTAACACATAGAAGAAGATAAGCTGAATCATAAGCAATGAAAACAAATACATAAAATTTCCACAATAATGCTAGATTTGACGACGAGACAACAGTAAGCCCTGAGCCCCATATCACACTGATCATACATTACAAGAAACATCTCGATCCGGGAAGCGCAAGAACAGAAAGAATCAGTCATGGTTTCCCTCCATATGTAGATCATGCATTAGAAGACCTAGTGAAGCATGAACAGAGAGACTCGCATTGTTTACTATAACCCATCAAAAACAGAGAAGACAAAGCCGATAGAAAGTGCCGTGATCGGATCGAAGTTCACACTTGGGATGAGATTCCTAAATCATTGCCAATACTAACACAGAAGTTTCCGCAAAACGAAAATCATCATTTCAGACAAAGCAACTAAATTGAGTGAAAACAATAGCGATTCCGGGAAATTAAGGCGAACCTATTTATACACTCAGGGTCCTAGACGCAGAAAAATTCACGAACTCTACCAAGACGAGCATTTCAGACAGAGCCGAGAATAAAAAGGACGGAAATTTACCTGCCCCTTGTACCAATTCTGATGATAGCAGACTGAGTCTTATGTTCAACGGCAACAGAAGCTCTAATGACGCCGGAACTCCGGCTCCGACGACATCTATTCGACGGCGGGGAGCTTAGGTGAGGCAGAGAGAAGCCGAGAACGGAGGCCGACCCGAGACAGGAAAGGTTGACCGTAGCAGAGGGTTTCGACGAGAGAGCGATTTGGTGTGTTGGGGAGAGAGAACAGGAGACGTCCATGGATACCGGTGAAGGAAATACGAGATTGCGATTTTGCTACGGGACGTCTAAACTCTAAAGAGTTGAGCTTTCAGATTGGACACGGTGATGGTCGCGGCGGATAACAGGATTCTCTGCGGCGGGGTTTATACTAAGTTAAGATATTCCTTGCGTCTTCACCGTCCGATTTATTGTTTTTATTAATTCAAAGATCGATCTCTCTAACTTTTTGTCGAACAGTTAATTTGATTATGACGATCAAATGGAGTAATCACTGAAACCGGAGAGATAATTAATTGCTCGGAACAGAAGAAGAAAGTTTGACACACACACATATACACACACATATATATATATATATATTGATCTTATTATAATAAAAAAGAGTTGAATTTGTAAGATACAAAACGAACATCTTTTAACTAAAAGTAAAATCCGATGACAAAAAGAAAATAGATCCAAATAATTTTTACATCAACGAGTTAAAAAAAAAAGGTCAACTTTGGGTTTGGGCTGAGGGTAACTACGCAAAGGCGGAACCTTTGGAGGCCCCATTTCCTTAGAATCACGAAGGATCGTTCACGCAAAGATCGCTGAAATTTCCTTTCCCCCCATTTTCGCTGACTTAGGGTTCTTAGAGAGACTTGGATCGGAACTTTCTGTGTCTGAATCCGAAGCCAAACATGTCAAGGCAGGTCGCGAGGCTTCTCGGATCTCTGTCGTCCAAGGTCCGACGCTCAGGGAACCAGGAGGTGTTCCCATCGTGCCGTTCGTTGACTCAGTCCCGATCCTTCACTGCGGCGCCGCCGCCTCCTCCGGCGGTTTTCGTCGACAAAAACACCCGCGTCATCTGTCAGGGTATCACTGGGAAGAACGGAACCTTCCACACCGAACAAGCCATTGAGTACGGCACCAAAATGGTACTTTATATTGATCTGTATTCTAAATCGTTTGGGTTGCTGGAATTCTGCGAGGTGAGGTTAATGCGTCAATTGATGTATCGAGATCCTAAATCAATGCAGATTAGGTAGTTGAACTCAGCAGAATCGCTTTGCGTAACCCTTTGTTCATCATCTTTGTTTGAAGGATTTAACCATGGAACCTTATAGCGTGTTTTCCATCTCCATATTCCACAAGATCAAGATTGTGTTTTATTGCTTGAATGTTATGCATTGAGTTGTCACCCTTTCTGTGTTGCTCTGGAGGATTGATTGCTTTTATGTTCGTTAAAGAATTTTTTTCCTTTTGTTGTTGTAAAATAGGTTGCCGGAGTGACTCCAAAGAAGGGTGGGACGGAACACTTGGGTCTCCCTGTTTTTAACTCGGTTGCTGAAGCTAAGGCCGAGACAAAGGCTAATGCTTCAGTGATTTATGTTCCTGCGCCTTTTGCTGCTGCTGCTATCATGGAGGCTGTGGAAGCTGAATTAGATCTTGTTGTGTGCATTACTGAAGGAATTCCTCAACATGACATGGTGAATATCTTCACGATTTCCTTTCTAAATTCTAATAATGTTCTGTCTAATCTTCTTTCACTTTTTTGGGTCTCATCAAGTGATTTGCTTGATCATTTTCTCCATATGTTTTTTTTATGTACATGCATATAAGTTTGCTCTCTGATTCCCTGAACTGGAGACTTGTGTTGTTGTAATATAGGTTCGTGTAAAGGCTGCTCTTGCCAAGCAATCAAAAACTAGGTTGATTGGTCCCAACTGCCCTGGGATTATCAAGCCTGGTGAATGCAAGATTGGGATTATGCCGGGATACATTCACAAACCCGGGAGGATTGGGATTGTTTCGCGATCCGGAACCTTGACATATGAAGCTGTAAGGTCCTTTTATATCTCTCTCGCTTTCATATTCTGTTCTCTGCCTCTCTCCTAACTTATGTGTATTTCGTATTAGGCTAGTTTATGTATAGAATTAGAGAATTATTATGTGACCCACGGAATGGAAAAAGACAAATGCATTGATACAAATATTCCCGAGTGTTAGATTAGTCAAACTTGGTACAGGATTTCTAATCACTGTCGATGTTTTGAATGTTATTCAGTGGATTTCTGATTGTTTGAATTATTGAAAAGCATTCATTTTGAGGACTTCTTAAACGGTTGCTTTCTGTTATTTTTCATGCAGGTTTTCCAAACAACAGCAGTGGGTCTGGGCCAATCTACTTGTGTGGGAATTGGTGGAGATCCATTTAACGGGACAAATTTTGTCAACTGCTTGGAGAAATTCTTTGTGGATCCACAAACAGAAGGTTGTTTTGTTTCCCAACACCTTGATTCTGGATTTTGATTTAGTCTGGTCTTCGTCCTTGATATAGTACTAAGTTTCCATTGAGGAGTTTCTCTGCAATGGTGAATTGATTTAGTTTTGCCAAGTCCCCCTTTAGAAGAAGTGCTGGTTTGGTGTTTTCTTATATGTTTTACTTCTATGCTGCTGCTGTTGTTTTTTTAAATCAATGTTCCCACTTGCCATTCTCCACTCTCTTAGTTACTAGCTTAGCTTCATGTAAGATTCTGACATGGATATCGAAACAATTGACCATTTCAGGTATCATTCTTATTGGAGAAATAGGGGGTACTGCAGAAGAAGAAGCTGCTGCATTGATAAAGGTAACCTGATTTTTTTTTCTATTCCGAAGGAACAACCAAGGATTGGTCGCTTTTCAACTTGGCCAACTTTGCTTCATCATTTCTGGATGATCAAAAAGTGAAAACATGGTATTTATATGATCAAACTCAGGAAAGTGGAACTGAGAAGCCTGTAGTTGCTTTTATTGCTGGACTTACTGCACCACCAGGGCGCCGAATGGGTCATGCTGGAGGTTAGCCTTCTTATCCTTGCTTAATATCTCACCTATCTTCCTTTTTCCTGGGGAACTACTTGTATCTAGTAAAATAGTTGAACTTTGTTCACTTGAAAAGGCGAAATCTTTTGCGTTGGTTGCGTGGTGAGTTGATCTTATGATTGTGGGAGCGTGTTCTGTGCAAAAACTGGCCTGTTTCTCATACGGGTTGGATTGGATACGGTTGGATTGGATTGGATCGCGGTCCATATTCGATCCATATCTGAACTTTTTAGTTTTTACTTACCCTCCATTTAGAAGAAAAAGTCTGGTAGGTTCCCTAGTGATCACAAGATTATATAAAACTTCTTCCTGAGTGTTTTTTTTGCATGGCTCTGTCTCTTTAATTGTTGATTCTTTTCGGAGTTCTTGGAACCAATTTCTGCTGGTGCCCATAAGATAACAATGTGAGAATCATAGACGGTTTGTGTCAGTATTCCCTTTGACCTTCTTATAGAGATTACACATTAAACCCATTCTCCGGTTAATCACTGAGGGGGAGAGTTTTCTTGTTTGTGTGCTGTCTGAACGTGCAGCCATTGTATCCGGCGGTAAGGGCACAGCTCAAGACAAGATAAAGAGCCTGAAAGATGCCGGAGTCACGGTGGTTGAATCTCCGGCCAAGATCGGATCAGCAATGCACGACATCTTCCAAGAACGAGGCCTTCTCGAGTCCAGTGAGAATCCCAGAGATTGATTCATTAGCTCGGATTTGACAGAGTCCCAACATTTTGCCAAAGGAGAAACTCTCCATCTTTTGCCGTGGCTTTGCAAATGCTCTGTCTGTTTTGTTTGAAGTGATTGAACAAAAAAAAAACATAACAGCACGGGAGAGAATTCTTTTTCTGCTTCCTCATCTTCTTCTCCTGCAGGTCATTTGGCCATAGAAGAAAGGATTCAATTGCGAAATTATAAATAAATAAAGCTCTTAAATGACTAATAAAATGTTTTCATGTACAGATGATTTCGGATTGGATAAATATTTTGCATGGAGGAAACACATGGAAATCTTCTATAACATGACTACGATTAAATGCTAAAATCCATACTAGGATAAATAACCGATGTTTGGGTATCAATATGTATGTACGTATGTATATGCAGCTGTAACATAAGTCTCGAGATATATTTGTCTGAAATGAACAACAGTTCTCGTTTCTTTTAGGATTGGAATCTGTCTAGACAGCGAAACTTCACAGGTCGAAACCTGGAAACCCCCCGAATTATGGGAAGTCACAAAATCTCGAGATCCATGTCTAATTTAAATCTACACATAAACATCGAGCACAGAGGACCTTTTTTTGCTATTCATGGCAACGGCAAGCTTTTTCATCAGAGAGAGGTTGTCCGAAAATGGCTTAATGCATCTCTGAAAAAAATATTGCCGAAAGATCTCTCTGAAATTTTTCTTATAAATTCAACTGAAATTCTTTTGGAGATTCAGAGGAAGGCGAGGCCCAGAAGAAGTGATTCCATTGGAGATTTCTCTTCTCTTCTTTCTCTCTTTCTCCTCTTTCAAATCATTTTTCTAATAAATCTTTGACTTTTTTTTAAAAGGAGGGAAAAGGGAGAAAGAAGAGTTTAGCTTTTTTGTTTTAATCCTTTGAAGCTTCTTCTTCATCATCATCTGCGTTTCACGTTTTGCTTGAGGGTCAGGAAATGGCGGGAGGAGCGTTTGCGACCAATGGAGGAGGCGACCATGAAGGAAGAGTCACGGCCTTTGTCATCATTACTTGCGTGGTGGCCGCCATGGGTGGCCTCCTCTTCGGTTATGACATCGGTATCTCAGGTTCGTATTGCAACAACGGTGTCTGATTTCTCATTTGAAACTTTTCATTCAAGATTATCGTCTCTTTCTTTACACCCAAGAAACTACCTTCCGTGCTTCCCTTCCCTGAATTCTGCATCTTCCCTTCAGTTCCTTTGATCTGAATCCGATTCGTGGTTTGATGGAATTACATATATTTGTTGCAGGAGGAGTGACATCAATGCAGGAGTTTCTGACAAAGTTCTTTCCAGATGTTCTTCTCCTTCAGCACAGGAAATCAAAGGGGGAGACTCAGTACTGCAAATATGATAACGAGCTTCTTACTCTCTTCACGTCTTCCCTCTACTTGTCTGCCCTTTTCGCCTCCTTCTTGGCCGCCACCATCACCAGGACCTTTGGCCGCAAACTCTCCATGTTCATTGGTGGCCTCTCTTTCCTCTCAGGTGCCCTTCTCAATGCTTTCGCCATTAACATCGAAATGCTTATCATCGGCCGCCTCATGCTCGGTTTCGGCGTTGGATTCGCTAACCAGGTACTACGTGCATATATAGCAATGCTAAATGTATTTGGATCAAGATTGAGTAGCAATATGATAGAATTTATTTTGTTTGAAACAGTCTGTTCCTATCTACCTGTCTGAAATGGCACCACCTCAGATGAGAGGAGCTCTGAACATAGGGTTTCAGATGGCCATCACCATCGGTATCTTGGTCGCGAACCTTGTCAACTACGCAACCCTCAAGCTCGAACACATTTCCGGGTGGAGAGTCTCTCTCGGTTTGGCCGGTGTTCCTGCTGTCATGATGCTGGTCGGATCCGTTTTCTTGCCCGACACTCCAAACTCCATCCTCGAACGTGGGAACCTGGAAGAAGCCATGGCGATGTTACGTAAGATAAGAGGCATCGAGAACGTGGAGCACGAGTTCAACGAACTCCAAGCCGCGAGCATGGCCGCCAAGAAAGTCGAGCATCCATGGAGGAACATCATGAAGCCGCGATACAGGCCGCAACTCACCTTCTGTTCGATGATTCCGTTTTTCCAGCAGCTGACAGGGATCAATGTGATAATGTTCTACGCTCCTGTCTTGTTCAAGACATTAGGGTTTGGGAACGACGCATCCCTCTGGTCTGCCGTTATCACTGGAATGGTTAACGTACTTTCCACTGTCGTATCCATTTTCACAGTCGACAAGTTCGGACGCAGGGCTCTGTTCCTCCAAGGTGGTCTCCAGATGATCTTGATGCAGGTGCGTGTACACCATTACAAATTTTCCCAGCGGTTCCATATTGTTAATGGATACAAATATATGGTCAATAAATATATGGGTTATTCTGGTTAAATTTTACACAATATGACTGACCATTTAGAAAATATTAGAGAAATGAAAAATATATAACTACAACAACAAATTTGTTGTTTTTGATGTATACAGATAGGCGTCGGATCCATGATCGGGTGGAAGTTCGGGCTGAGAGGAGAAGGAACGTTGACAAGGGTGGACGCCAACGTAATCGTAGCCATGATATGCGTCTACGTTGCGGGTTTTGCATGGTCATGGGGACCGTTGGGATGGCTAGTGCCGAGCGAGATCTGCCCGTTGGAGATCAGGTCTGCCGGTCAGTCCATTAACGTGTCGGTCAACATGTTCTTCACCTTCCTCATCGGGCAGTTCTTCCTCTCCATGCTCTGCCACATGAAGTTCGGTCTCTTCTACTTCTTCGCCGGAATGGTCTTGATCATGACGGCCTTTATATACCTTCTGTTGCCGGAGACAAAGGGTGTTCCGATCGAGGAGATGGGCAGAATCTGGAGATCTCACGGCTTCTGGGCTAAGTATATGCATGATGATGATGATGATGATGATGATGATGTTATTGCAAACAATATGGATGATGATTTGGATTCGAGGGCTTGAAGGGTATCTTCGATTTTAAGGGTTTCTTTTTCATGATTTGATTTACCATGATCATAATTTCGTTTTGTTCTTTTTTGAGAAAACGTCTGTGCTTGTGTGTGTGTGTATATATATATATATATATCCAATGAAATAGGTATACACGCTCGTGAACCTCTCCTATATCTTCTTCTTCTTCTTCTTAGAACCAAAATCTATTTCTATTACATTTCTTTTTCAATTGCCGAATCAAAGCACCTTTCAGATTTCAAAAAAAAAATTCAAATCAAACAAGGGCAAAAAAGTAGCAGAACTAAGTTTCTTGGGCTTCAAGCAACAAACCCTATCGATTCCATGGCAGAGTAACTATATGTTGCATGGAAATATTTCGGTACGTGGCGATGAATTTATTTGGAAAAAAATGATATGACATCAGTTAGCAAGAAAATTAAAATGTAATAAACCGTAACATTAATTCATGAATCAATTCATAACCAATAATAATTTTATTTTTTTAATTGTTCAGATGCTATCAGCAATAGCAGTGGCATTGTTTTCTCCGATGAGAGAGAGGTTTGCACCAACCGCCCCTGCCGTTATCGCAGCCGTCGAGACACCACCGGTTGCATCTGTCTTCGTCATCCTCTGTGTCGCACCTACCGAACTTTGGGTGAGTATTGCAACACAACGACTTTCCCTTCGCTTCTCCCATGTCTGAATATAACAAAAACAACATCAAAATCACAACACCAAAACCATTCAGACCATGCAATTAATGCCGTAAGAGTTTGAACTGCATGCATGCTTCTTGTTTTGACCTAATATCTCTCCCTACATTTTTTGGTAACCGGATATCTGTGGACCAAGACTGTCAGTTTCAAAATCCGAAAACGGGTTTTAGGGTTTCAGATTCCAACACAGAGTTTCAATATTTATATGTAAACCCTAATATAGAACGTGCGAAATCCAAGGGTATGGGGTCAAAAAGGCCGAAGGTCGGTACTAGATTTAAGGTTTAGGGTTTAGAGTTAATCTCGGATCAGGAGCCAAACATATAATTTGTATTATACGCTCTCTCCGCAAACTTATTCTCCATACATCTTATTTATTAGGTTATCTCTCAATCGGGTCTATATTATATTATATTATTTTATTTTTAAAAAAAGAGAAGAATACCATTGAATCAAAAAGAGAAAGGAAGAAACTGACCAACACACAGGAGGAGAACGACGAGCAGAGCAAAGGAGATGACTTTCATGTTGGCCATCTTCTTCTTCTTCTTCGTCTCTCTTGAGATTTCTTAATTTTAGGGTTAGGGCGAATTTTTGAGTTGTCAATATTTTCCTCTTGTTTATAAACATACGATATATATATATATACTCGTGTGGAAATATGCATATTTTCCTGTAAGAGTATAAAATGGAAATATAAGAGACGTTTCGGAAGTATGCAATAAGCATAATGGAAAACATGCATTTTATAGAGATTTGTTTCCATATATAGTCTGATGTGTTCATATTATATGAAATCTTCTCAATTAATGCACCAAGCCAGCCTCAGATTGTGCCTTGGGCAAATGTAAATATATGCAAGTGTTCCATGCAAAATGTACACATATATGCAATAAGCACTACTATACCCATGCGTTCGTATAAACAGAGATATATACGTACACTGTTTCATTTCTATAATCAAGATATATATGCACATTCATATATAGATGTACATATACGTACAAAAGCATGGTGTTAAGTGAATACGTTGGAGATTGTAGGAAAGAATAATATTTGTTAAAGCTAATTAACATTTATGATCTTTTAATTTAAAGAAAACTTGTTAAACTTTTGTTTTGGAAAACTTCTTTTTCTTACATTTGTTTATATATAGAAATGTTCTCGGCAATATGAGATGTTTCTTCTTTTTTTTCTTTCCTTTTTTTTTCTAAAAAAAAATTCTCTGTTGATTTGTTAAATATCAAACCAAATCAAATTACACATACAAAGTTGAGAGCAAACCAATTCAAATAGAAAATGACCTAAACCAGAAATAGAAAACCGAATAAATCTACTCTCTCTAAAATCGAACATGCACATAAAAAGGTAGGGACAGATGGATCAGTCATTGTACGTACTTAGTGTTTTTTTTTTAATTATAATACGGAACTACATCTTTCTTCCATAGGATCGAAGATTCGGGTTAATGTCCCTCTCCACGTTTGGATTTGAACTCAGAATAAAACCATACTTTACATATTCTCTTACCACTAGAACATTCAAATTCAAATTTGGGTTACTTAGTGTCTTCATTTGCTAACATAAAACTGTCCAAGATTAATCGAGAATAGTAGCTTTATCATCATCATACGTACTTAGTGATTTCATCTTTTAAAGTTGTTATTTTGTTTTTCACTTTCGCGTTCAAAACTTTATTCTTTCCTTTTTTAATATCAAACCATGAAAATCGATGTTTCTAAAGTGGATTAACCGTTTAAGTATAAAAAAACCCAGACACATAAGACCTCTCTTCAACAAAAAAATATTATCCAAATTTTAGTAGTTTAATCGGTGTAAAAGAGGTACAAAACGTCTGTCATGTTCCGAATTCAAATCTCAAAATTTGGGGAGGGAATATATAATCCAAATGACATGGCTGATTCCTGATCTCATAATTAATTTGGACCTTAGATCCACGATACCCGATTACAAAAAAAACGTAAAAAAATAATGTCTCCTTCCTAATCCCCATGGACGAATCTTGAAAAAACTACCGAAAGGTTGGGTTACAGATGGATGGAAATTCAGACAATAAGAGGATTCACTTCCTATCTTATGAGAGAATTCCTGAGTTTTGCGTTGGTTTAAATGTTGAAGCTTATTTAATTTGACAAGTATTATCAGTTAGTTGGTTTAGAGGTTGAAACTTAATTAATTTGACAAGTATTAACCGGAATTAACCGTTAATTAACTTGTTCAAACCCGGTTTAGATTGAATTGTGACCCGGTTTAGTTCTTGGTACAAACACATCATGGATGGACCCTGCAGAAGGAAGCGAAGTGGTCGTTGACCTTTAGTCTTCTTCTTGTCTGCTGCGGACCAACATAACTACCTGGAGGGATGGCGATGAATATACGATAAATACTCTCTCCCCTAACAACCGTCCATTTTTTAGAATTCCATATTTGCCCTAACACCAAACGTGACTTATTCCGAAAAGGAGGGTATTTAGGTAATTAAACAATCTACTGGTTTTGTGTTGCTTTCCTTGTACCACACGATCCGTCCCCTTAAATCCGAGAGGAAAAGAGGCAAGAGAGATTGATTAGATTAGGGTTTCTGATTAGTAGCCCCTAAACCTTAATTTTAATCTGATTGAGTCCCAGCTTCTGGAGGTTCCCGATTCCGATCATGGCGTCATCGGTCTGCATTAACGAGGCGTTGACGGACGACGAGCTGAGATGGGTGTTGTCGAGGTTGGACAGCGACAAGGACAAGGAGGTGTTCGGTCTCGTCTGCAAGAGGTGGCTGCATCTGCAGAGCACCGAGCGGAAGAAGCTTGCGGCGCGTGCGGGTCCACACATGCTCCGCCGCATGGCCGCGAGGTTCACTCGCCTCGTCGAATTAGACCTGTCTCAGTCAATCTCCAGGTCTTTCTACCCCGGAGTCACCGATTCTGACCTCTCTGTCATCGCCGAGGGATTCAAGTGCTTGAGAGTCCTCAGTCTGCAGAACTGTAAAGGTAACTACTTTTTATACAAACTCGGAGAATATGGCTTTTACCTTTCTGGGTTTCATTTGTTTTGACTGAGAGTTCTTGTAATTGTAGTGGAAGTGTTTATGGGTGGGCAAGATTCAGTTTAGGGAAAGTTGCTAGTATTTGAAGGCTTGAGGTTTGCTCTATGCGTTTATAGGTTTCTGTTGTGTCCAATACCGTAGTAGCCTTTGGTCTCTGTGGGTATAATAGATAGTGTCATGATAGGATATAGAACGAAATTCTCATTTCTGTGCTTTCCAAACATTCTTTGGTTTCAATTCATTGGCTTCAGATGGTGTTCAACTTCAAACTTGAGATTTTAGTATAGTGGGCATGGCTCCCCCATCTTGTCGAGGCCCAGGGTGTAACCTTTGGTTGGTTCGGTGACCTTTCTGTCTGTCTATTTGAGAACATCTTGAGTAAGGAAGTATGATCATATTCGAGAAGACCCGGTTTGCTAATTCAACCTTAAGTGGGATTTTCTATGTTTGAATCTGACCTAGGAGATTACTGTTGAGTACTCCATCCTTCAGGCGCCTTCTTTCTATTTAGTATGGATGTACTTTTGTTTGAGTTGTCAAGTCTGAAGATGTGATGGTGTTTTGAGGAGGCGCTCTATAGTAACTAGGCCTCCACACCTTTTTAAGTCATAACTGGATTAAAGAGATAATCAAAGTATTTATTGATATGGATAGCAAAAATCATTGAGTCTGTACCCAAAAAATAAACCAACCATCATCGAGTCATTTGGGTTTTACCATGGTGAAAACAAATAAAAGGGTTTTGGCAACCATTGACGAACACGAGATAATCAAAGTATTTATTGATATGGATAGCAATACCATTGAGTCTGTGCCCAAAAAATAAACCATACCATAGAGTCATGTATGTTGATAATGGAATGATCTTATTCTCAAATTTTGGCAACCATTGAGTCATTTGGGATTTACTGAGGTGACAACAAACAAAAGGGTTTTGGCAACAATTGACGAACACGAAAAAAGCCTTGGCAATGTTTGACTATCCTGTTTATGGTATACATCATTTCCTTTTTATTTGTGAAGTCAAATAGACAACAATATACCGTGGATATGTTCTGAACTATTTTTGGCAATCCATTTTATGGTACACGTTGTTTGGTTTTGTATTTCTGAAGTTTGCTGGACCATAAAATAACATCTAATCGGGATTGTACTTGTTTCTTTCAATATTTTGGCTGCAGTAAATTTGGTTGGGGTAACTCTGGTTGTTACTTAACTGTTTTGCTTCTTGCAACAGGTGTTACAGATACTGGGTTGGCATCACTTGGATCTAGTCTCTCTTCTCTGCAGTTTTTGGATGTATCCTACTGCAGAAAGCTCACCGATAAAGGATTATCCGCTGTTGCAGAAGGCTGTCGTGACCTAAGGACTTTGCATCTCGCTGGATGCCGATTTATCTCAGACAAATTATTAAAATCACTGTCCGAGAGTTGTCGTGATCTGGAAGCTCTAGGACTTCAAGGCTGCAGCAATATTACTGATTTAGGCCTGAGTGATCTTGTAAAAGGCTGCCGGAAGATAAAATTCTTAGATATCAACAAGTGCAATAATGTTGGAGATGCTGGGGTATCCGGTGTTGCTGAAGCTTGTGCCTCTTCCCTTACGACACTGAAGCTGTTGGACTGTTACAAAGTCGGGGACGAATCTATATTATCTTTGGCAAAATTTTGCAGGAATCTACAAACTCTAATAATTGGTGGTTGCCGTGACATCTCTGACAAATCTATAAAACCACTGGCTGCTTCCTGTAGAGACAGTCTCAAGAACCTGAGAATGGATTGGTGTTTGAATATAACTGACTCTTCCCTGAGCTGCATTCTCATGCAGTGCATAAACTTGGAGGCTCTTGATATCGGTTGCTGTGAAGAGATCACCGATGCTGCTTTCCAGGATTTGGGGAATGGCAACGTGTTGGGTTTGAAGGTTTTAAAGGTGAGCAATTGCCCGAAGATCACGGTGTCAGGGATAGGCTTGCTTTTGGGGAAGTGCAGTTCCCTGGAGTATCTCGACGTAAGGTCTCTTCCACATGTGACGAAAGGGAGATGCGATGAAGCTGGGCTGGTATTTCCAAAATGTTGTAAAGTAAATTTCGTGGGAAGTTTAATTGAGCCAGATGTGCTGCTCTGAAGATTATGGGGTTCAGAGGTTGGGGTTGGGGAAAATATCATGGGCCCTTCAAAGACATTTCGGGGTTTCACTACCCTCTGGAATCTCACTGGTGCATTTACTCTTATGTGTGATGGTCCATCAGTGAGATTTCTCAAGCTCTGTACATGCTGTGCATGAAAATTTGATTGCGGTTGGTTTGTTATATACATCAACACCACTTGCAATGTGTTCCTATTGTTGGCATATACTATCTCTGTCCTGGTCTCCATGGATGGACCTGCACTGCATCTCCCTCTAATAAAAAGTTTGAGCCTTTGATATCCGGTTGTGGATTCAGATTTTCTATATAGTAGTTCTTGAACCAGAATGTTCTGTGTGATGAAATTGCTAGAAAGACATGAAAAAATGGAGCAGGTTGACCCAGGAAGCTCTCTGGTTGCAAACAGGAGGACTGCTTCTACTTCTTGTTTCTTCCTTATTTCTGAGTTCTTGAAGTTTATTGGTGCTTGTGAATCTACTGAATGGCCTTAAGATTATGCAATGCATGTATTCGCGTGGTTCAGCTCTTTGCATGTTTCTTGTTCCAGACATGTTCTCCCGCACAGGTTACATGAGTTAATATTCCCAGCAGGGTGTACAGGTTAGCTATCTCCTTGTGTTGCGTTTCATGGTTTTTACATTTGGATGAGTGGAATTAGAACAAAAGATGAGCTTTTTATATATTCATTTCTTGCATGAGCCGCGTCTGCAATGTAAAAGAAATGGTAAAAATGAGTTTGTACAATATTGTTTTTTTTCTAGGACTCTACTATCTTCATTCATGTGACTATTCTGATGAAAACAGGTAAGAAGAAATGAAATATTTCTTCTTGACCCGAGTCACCACGGCAGACCGGCTCATTGGGCGTTGTCTTCTTGGAAGCTCTGAGACAATGCCAGTTGAAGACAGTTGAAAGCTTTCTTGTAGCTCAAGAATCCCATGAACCAAAAGTCGAAATCATCAACTGTGACTACTTCCAGGTACTTCTGTGATGGCTTCTTAGTGTTCTGACTCTGGTCTACTCTCTTGATCTTGCTCAATGGGATCGATACCTTGTAATGAACCCGGACTATGTCTCCCTGAGGGGAAGCGATCTTGATAGACCTTTCGCTGCAGAAGGCAATCTTCTTGGACGAGATGAAAAGAAGACCCGCGATGGGACCAGCTGTTGTCGACAGGTAACACTGATACGCCTTGAACAGTTTCTCTCCGTCCCCAACCCTGAACAGTCGCTTGAAGATTTTCTCGAGGCCTCCAACTTGAAGAATCCTGGCTCCCAAGGCTAGCTTTCTCTTTACTGTTTCGGTAAGCTTTGGTCCCAACTTACTCTGATCTCTAGCTCCATTGGTGAAGCCATCGGTTTTCTTTCCTTCCTGCATGCTTATTCTTCTAAGAACCGAGTTTCCTTTGCCTGCCACGCCATAACAAGGAGCGACCCGTTAGGAAGGAGGAGGGGAAAAAAGCTACAGACAGGGGATAAACAATAAGAGGAGAAAGGTACTAACTTTGTTCGGATTTCTTGGAAGAAGTCGAAACCCGGAATTTGTTTACAGCAGCCGGATCAAGCAAGTAACCCACCGGGGATTTCTTGACCGGAGGAAACGAGATCACTTGTTGCTGAAGTCTGTTCATGTTCATGTTCATCTTCGGCTCGTTCTTGGGATTATGTCTGAGGACTGATCTGTTTTTTTCCCTTCTTTTGTGAATTGTGAGTTTGGTTGTGATCTGATGGCAAACCCAGCGGTTGAGCAGAGAGGTATATAAAGGGAAGCACGAGAGGCAGTTGAGGCTGTGAAATCTTTGAGGATGAGTCATAGATGGATCATCAAGGAAGGAGAAAAGCCGCTTTTTTAGGGTTTTCTTTCTTCTTTTTCGTTCCTTAATCTTTTTCTGGTTAAAAGCAAAGAGAAGATTAGGCATATGGTATGTCTGGTCGCTTTGAGAAAAGAAACTCAAAGAGGAAATATATATATATTAAAAAAAATACTAATAGAAAAAAAAAAGTGTTGCATGCAACTAACAAAGTGCTTTTGTCTAGTCCTTGAGAAGGATCTAGTCGCAGCTCTTGTTCTCTATGAAGGCTTTGAACGTTGTTGTCTTCCTCTAATATCATATCTAATTATTATTAATAATATATTTATATAATATTAACGTTTATATATCATCTAAACTCTCCCATCTTAGGTTATATAATATTAACGTTTATACATTTGATCGTTATTATATGTAAATGCATGAAAATGTACAAACATCATCCGACGTTAGAATCCGACATGATTTTGTTTTTTTTTTAGCCTCAATACAAGTTGGCGAAAACGTTATCTTGATGGGGCCCTAATTTACTTAGCCATGCACATGTAACATTGTGACATTGTCGGATTATATTAGCCAATGGGGGTCCCATGTTACACGTAGGTTTTCCTAATTAGTTGGAACCATTATAAACAAAAAATTTAAGAGCAAATATGCGTAGGAATAACACAAATGGCATTTGACCTATGCTTTTAAATCAACGGATTGTAGATGCGTGGCTTTGGACCTTTCTGAGTTGGCATCGTGACTTTCTGATGCCATGGAGACATCATCTTTTTATGGTAAGATAAGATTTTTTATTATGAAAAAAGCGATTTAATATTGATACAAAAAAGGAGGGATATTGGTAATGGAATAAACCTGTTGTTGCATGAAATTCGTCATCCATGTGATATGCTCATGCACCCATCTACGCGTTATTATATACACGAAAAAAGAAAAAAGAAAAAAGAAAAGCGAATTATTAGTTAGTTGTTACGAATAAAAATACGACGAGAGGGAAAGA